GGGGCTGCTGCACACATTGCACTGCTGCCCGAGGAGTGTGGGGGGGGGGGGCGTACGCATGTTTCGCATGCCATAGTTGTTAAACCATGTGCCACGCGTCCACGAGAGGACGGAGCGAGGGGGGCGGAAGGAAAAAATGCTCGGATGCTTAGATACGCTCGGTAGGAAGTGGTGTCTTGAGATACTGTCAGGAGCGGTAACGCTAGTGACCACGGAAGGGCTTTGCCGGGTTGAACGACGGGAGTCGGCACGTTGCCTGACAGCCGACAACAAACCGTCTGGTTTAAGGCATGGAGTCCAGTCAAGACCACTAGGAAAGCGCGGTGGGGGGAGGTTTCCAGACCTGAAAATTGCGGCCACTTGGCACTCTCACACAGCCTGTTTTCGAGACTACTGGCGATGGCTTGAAGTTTTCCTGATCGATCGCCGCCACATGCACACACCGCACCGAGGGGAGGAGATAATATCGAAGGCAACACTGGAGGAAGTATGATCATTACTGCTGCGTAAGGAACGAGAGCACGCCAAATGTCAAGCACAGCATGGGTGTGGACGCCACGCCACCCCCAGTCAAGAATAAGGACAAGGAAAAAGAGGTGCCTCTGGGAAATGAAAGCTGCCAAGAGCGAGCGCCGACAGACACACTCTCGCGGGCCCTCCTAAAGCACTTGAAGGTCGGTGCTACCGTGGACTTCGGGAAAATGTGAAATGCGTGCGAAGTGAGAGACAAACGGCACACCGGCCAACTCCATCTATCAGGCACGACTTTGTCTACAGCTTCGCCGCAGCATGAGAGACCTCATGGTGTCCTCGAGCCATGAGTGCTCGCTCACTCAACCTGACACTCAAATGCCGACCACAAAAACCCGTGAGTTGGGAGGCTTACTCAAGTTTCGCACGCCTTGTTCGACCATTGGCGGCGGGGGATTGGAGGTACACTCATGTAAACGCATGCCGTGGTAGTGGGGTGTGTGGATTATGAGAAACTCCGCGCTCGGTTGGCCATCACACCGCGAAACACTTGCCCGTTGTCCCAGACCAGGGTCAAGCGGCCCGGTCGCGTGAGCGGGATGGTGCCCGTGATGGGGCCCAGTTGGCTCTCCACCTTTTGCGGCTCGACGATCACCTCCTCCTGCCTGTCCTCGGCAACACCCCCATCCCCGCTGAAGGCCCCGCCTCCCTTGCTGTCGTCCGCCTCTTCGAACAGGATGGCGAACTGTACGTCGTTGTAGAGGGTTTCGAAACTGCGGCGGGTTTGTGGGGGGGG